AAATTCCAAATACTATTCCCTGTCTTCATCAAAATTATCCCCATCCCTCTTGAACCTGATTAAGGGGGCCGCTGATCCTGATTGCAAATTCACTGCAGCAGTATTACATTCATGAGACCAAGGAATTCTCACGACAAAAAAAAAGAAGAAAGAAAAGTGATCTCTCTTTCTCATAATAAAGAGTAAAGTAGAAAAGTTCTACCGTAATCTTCATTAGTCGAATTTTTTTTCGCTTAACACTCACCTGGCTGAAAACCAACGACTCCCTCACCAACGCTTTCCACCACTCCAGCACCCTCATGGCCCAAAACGACGGGAAAAATGCCTTCCGGATCGTGACCATCGAGTGTGTATGCATCAGTATGACAAATGGCAGTGTACAGAATCTGAATTTGATACAGTCAAAGGTAACATATAGAACACACCACATGCTGCTAGTGCTCAGGCCTCCTAGCTTACAAATTGGTGACAATTTTGATAATTCATACAAAGTAGTGCCCTCATAAAGCTAGAGGTCAGAAGACCACGACTGTGTAAACGCTTCTGAAACGTTTTAGAAATAAATCCTGGCGAGCAAACCCACACTGACCTCACAGTTTCGATCGCTATTCGGAAACTAGGCTAATTCCTCCGAATATTAAGAGCAAACTGTGGTGACCAACACATGACGCAACAGTAAGCACACCCACGTACACTTGAGTGCCATCTAACCATAAAACGGCTTATTCTCAGTTACAAGGCGATTTCTTCCGAAATGCAACGGAAGTAGAAGTTATCCTCCTTTTGATGTGCTTGACCGTGAAGCAGTAAACGCTATTTGCCGGTCAAAATCAGCAGATGAGGGGCTGCCGCCCTGCGCCCTACATCACTTTATTACATAACTGAGTAGGTATTTTCTCTTTTTTGCTCAGATGGAGAAGATGATTGCCTTAACTAACCGGTTACAACCCATACTTACGGCCTTGCAAACAGATTGAAGTTATAAAACGGGCATTCCAGCGGAAACTCATTGTAAGTGTGGAAATGATCCAAAAATCTCCACAAATAATTTGTGCACACGATCATAACCATTGTTAGCACGTGTCACAATTTTAACACATCCCACCTAACTCCTCATCGTAACGTTTTTGAAGCGAAGAGGCAATAAAACAAGATAAAAATAGAAAGCTAGGTATTGATCGCATGGTGATCGTGATTCGGTATTCAAACACTACCTTTATCCTAACTTCGTGAGCTTGTGGTGGTGCAACTTCGATATCCTCTACTGATAATGGCTTTTTTGCTTCCCAGGCAACGGCAGCCTTACACGTGATGACCTGTAATCGAAACTACATAAAGGTTGCTTTAAGAATAAAGAAGAGCATGTTGTAGGAATTCAAACAACCCTACCTTTCCTTGTGTATCGGACATTTTCACAAAGCACCTAAAACAAATGATTTCAATGGTTGAAATGTCATATTACTATTTCTTATCAGTAGAAATTGGTATCCCAATTAGCGTTGAACAAGAAAACATTCAAATAAGAGTAAGAAAATATGGCAATAGAGTAAATAACTTCAGCAACGAACCAGAAGGTGTATTTCAATGAATTTATAGCCACAACAAAGACAGTAACGGAAATTGTCAACAAATAAATGATTGGGAGACGCAACGACGGCGCATATCTCTGAATTTGAAGTATAATCAGCGCTCCATAGTCAGCACCCATTCGATGTGCGGTGTCTGCGGGAACATATCAACCGGCCTTATCGATACCACTTTGAACGGTCTGCCGGCGTACTTCTTTGAGCTAAATCACGCGTATAACGTTGGCGCATAGAAATAAACAAAAGCGTGAAAAAGTAATTGTTATTGGAGGGATCTGAACGTCGTGACTAATTCAACTTGGACGATTTTGAAATATCTAAGAACCTTAATGGTAAAGCTATGGGAGTCGGTTAAGCTAGTGGGTGGCGCCAACGCAGCTATTCTCGCAACATTTTTGCCGCTACTTATCGAATACCTACAGAAATTCGATGAACAGTAGTACGATGGAGGTCCTGGGTTTGAGGAACCAAGCAAAGCATTCCTCGCTATGTGGTGCGTCATGAGCATCACGCGGTCCCCAATGTTTTAAAAAGACCATCTGTATTACGAGGATGCAAGGGACCATTAACGCTTATAAGGAGTCGCGGCAGCTTAATTGGCGAAATTCTGTGCTGATAATATCCGTGAAAAAAAGACTAGTGAGCCATAGCTTCACATGACCCCACACAGTCAAACTCAGGCGGCTAATGCGCTTCCGTGTACTTGAACCTTGAACAACTCTTATTAAGATCCAGATATAATGGATCACCTAGTCAGGTGTGGTGTTGCTCATCATTTGCACGACAAATAAGAAATATAAGAAGTGCCCAATCTGCCGAAAATACACTATTTATCGCGTTTCGAGAGAGTTTGCACCCGAAGATGGCTCGGCCGGCCATAGAAGAAACTTTCTAAACATTTGGTACGTGGTTACGAACTGTCAGCAACCACGTATAGGTGAACCCCAGCGTAACGCAGCTCAAGAGGAAAGCGGAAAATCAAAAATGCCTAGCGGTTGTCAAGATTCATCTCGCCTCGTAATTTTTCACAGTTCTAAGGAAGGTGGACTCGACTTCCTGAAAACTACCATACTTGTATGGCCGACTATAAAACTCACGTTGGACGGCAAAGATCAACAATGTTTTTCATAGCTGCAGCTGGATCACAAGAAACGAAAACGAGTCGTCGTAGAGACTCCATCTGAAAGTAAATGACATTGCAAAAATTTTCAACTGCCAAAACGTATTCTTACCATGCGACATCCGAGTACAACTTTGTCATGAACCCCACATCTGGGCGGATCCATCACCCCGACAACATTTGAATGAGCGAGATCTATTCCAGAAGGGAGAGTGAACCGTAACGATGAGAAAACGTCTTCTGCTTTTCCGGCAATATAACAACATCTGAAATGGGATTTATGACTAGGCTGAAAGATTAAAATTAGTATACAGATTTATCAGTTCTGCTCCCAGTTCGCCGCCGAGACCCTGTAACGAGTATATTTTACCCTTCGCTGCGTTCACTTGAAAGTGAAAAATGAAGTTCTCATGAAGGAGATACACAAGAGGAAAAAGGGAACACACAGCACCTTTGCGTAATAGAGAGTCTTATCGCAATCGTGGCATCGCGTAGAATATAAACCCTACAATGATTTGAGTCTTGGGTCGTCATCGGTCGGTTATTCTCTCTCTCTTCTCTCTCTTCCTTTTCCCTCTCCAGTCCCTTCCAGTTCTGATGCCAACACCATGAAAGGTCAAATGTGTAATTAATGGCTAACACCTCCACCCCGCACACTTCTCGGCCAAAAACTCGTTTGAATAATTCCCATATTCGTAATCGATCATTCCGTATTCGAGTAGACGAGTAGAGATGAGAAACTGCGGGCAAGTTCCGCAGCCGACTGGCACCCCAATTTTCACAATTTTTTGTTCCTAAAAGTTTCGCAGCGAGCATTTCCTCAGCAATTATGTACTATCAATTCTCACTATCAAAATGGATTGCGCCCGAAAAAAAAGGAATACGAAGTAACACCGGAGAAAATTGATAAAAAAGGTGAAAATGGGCGGCTGAGGAACTTGCGCATATTCGAAGTCGGTAAAAAGATGTTCGAACGTATAGTAATAGAAATTAGTCGAGAAGGTGAATGATCCGAACGAGGGCCGGTCAGAATGTGGGTGGAGTGCAGGCGACAACCCATACGCCCCAATGGCTATGCGGCTGCGAATGGCCGTGCCATACGACATACATCCATTGCGGAGTGAGCATGAATGGAATACTCTTTCGCAAGACTCCTTCACGACAGGCTCACAGTACTCTGCCTTCAATTCGGGAGCCAATAGACTTCTAAACTCGAACCTGACTGAAAGCACCTACGTAACTGCCTCGTTTCCCTCCACTATTCATAATCCCATGCGAAGAAAGGAATACTTATGGGAGATAATAGCCATCTCTTCCAAAACGTGCAATTCTGGTTCGCCAATTCAGGAACGGCTACTACTTCCAAGGATTATTTGAGATTCGGTCGGTCGATGGTGTCGAAATTGGGTTCATTTTTATGTGGAAAGATTCGAACAGCTACCCCAAGGAATTAGTAACGGCGTTTGGCCGTGCTAAAGGATAGTTCCTTTCTGGAATAACTGCAAGAATGCAGCGGGAAAGAAAAACTCCGCGACCAATTCAGTACATTGGCTGAGCCCTGCAAGTCATAGTATACGCTTAATCACACTCCTAAATCACTTTGATCATGAATTGAGCCTTTTAAAATTCGACAAAAGAACGTTCCAATTCCCAGCTTTTAAGCGAAAGTCGCAAGGTAATTTCTATTTTCTCTCGGTTTTTCTCCGCTATATCAACAACTCGCACACTCTCCCAATTTTCACCCATACGACAGTGAAGGCTATTCCCTGTTTTTTTATTACAATAAGAAATTGGGTCTTCATGAGTCGGACTGATCAATATAAATAAACTGCATGGGGAATGAGAAAAATTGCGTCAGGAATTACCATGTACGACAACAGTAGCCTCATTATGTTCTCCAGCGTAACCGCGTGCGACTGCAAGCAAACGAAAATTATAATGATTCTTTTTCACAAAAGATGTAGCATAAGGCTGTATGCAATATGGAAGTCAAGGTGGGAAGGTAATGCCCTAATTTCTTCACAATCGAAATGTCCCGCCTCTGGTTCAAGGGACTTCTCGATTTGTTTATTATATTCTGTCATTTTATCTAGTCGTAACACAGTGGAAACGTCCCCCTTAAACTGTTCTTAATGGATGTCATTCCTCAATGTGCCCGACGCGTGACTCTCATGTTTGAAGGAACTGTTCACGGAAAAATTTACATACTTCCCCAGGTGAATAGTCACTTGTGACTACTAGAGACATTCTTCACTTCACGAAGAGATGAGGGATTTGTATTTAGAGAGATAAATGCAGGGGTTAACGACGAAACCAAAATACAGGGGTGGTCGAAAGTTAAATTGGGCCGAAGCCAAAAGGAAGAAGAGTGGCTGACTGCTCGCACGATCTATTTTAGCAACACATTATGATTGGAATTAAAACAACCCGAAGTTCGGAGTAAACAGGGGCAAAAGCGAGAAAAGACAGGATGCAGTGAAAGGGCGCCTGTTATTTGCATAAGTCTGGAGGAAGGCGCAGAACAAGAGTCTCTCAGGGAGAAGGCACACTAAACATAGTGGATACTCTACCCAGTTACTCCAGTTTCACCTGTGTATCGGTGGGATCTTGAGCATGTAAAAGTCCTCGAGTTTTTCGAAGTTCACACCAGAAAAAAAACGTAATTTTTTTGTTATTATTGTGAATAATGAGTCTCGAGACAGTGATTTATGTGTGATGTAGAATCGTAACTTACTACCTTTAGACCGACGTCATATTCGGCGATGGACCAAACGATGGAGCGATCGCGATCGCTCCATCGTTTGGTCCGTCGCCGAATATGACGTCGGTCTTACAAACAAGAACTTTCCAGCACCTATCCCATGTTATGTTAACTCAATGTAAGTACAGTTAATACTGTAGCTAGTGAAATGTGTAATGCAAAAAAAAATAAACTTAGGGCGACATCGTCATCAAGATGCTAATGCTCGCGCATAGGTTGCAATAAAGACCAAGAGAGAACTATTCATAAAGAGGAAAGAGGCTTACATATCAAATACGCAAATAAACAATTAGTTTTGGTCAGCGGTGATTCTCAATAGTATATTGTGACGTTCACCGGCTTCAAACAAAAATCCATAGGACGTTAGGGGCCTGTCAGGGAGCTTATGGGTTCTAATTATTTATCGCAACCGATGTTAGACCTGGCCTCGTCTGCTACGACTCTTCTTTGTTCTCTCTTCTCGACGCTCACTTTATCCCCGTCGTTACACTGTCTGCCTTGCAGAAAGAAAGAGCTCAATCTCTGGGTTCCCGGGTTATATATAACTTTTATAGCAGTCCACTTCACGCCACTGTGTGCAGAATTAGGACTCATTGTGGATGTATGATTTTAGAGCTGTGAGAAATACTCTCCGAAAACGATTTTTTGCGACATGTCTGGAGGGCTTGGCAAGGTTCACCGAAGGAGATCATATTTGCGCTTTTTTTTTGGAAAATCGTTTTTGGCGAGTCCGGCGAGTATTCCAGTGAACTTCACGGGAAAAGGTGAAATTTTAAAGGGATTTTGAAAATGTTGTAAATTGTTTCAGGCTTGCCGTTTAATATCCCCCACTCCAGTCCGCACGACTGGACATCGTTACGTCATCTGCCTGTGCTGCAATTCGACTAACGGACCTAATACTAGCACAACTTGAACTCGGCCGAGAGTCACCGCTCTATAATTTAATAGGAATTAAATATAACAATAGAGATGAGAAACGGAGCCGCACGAAGAAAAAACAAGAAATTACGTCAAAAGCCCGTGAATTGAAATTGAATATTTAGGTTGATGTACTTGATCGGAGATATGACACGAGAAGATCACAAATCACGGGTGTTATTATGTAAACAAACTCTTAAAAACAATAGGCTAAAAATAGCAATATTGCAAACTTTAAAAAACACGGTCAAAGGCGGGGCAGTTTTAAGGAGAACGTTTTTGGTTTTAAAGACTAACTACATGCAATCATATGTATGCTTCCCATGTGCACACTGTGCAAACCCCCTTGATCGTACTCAAAGATGCCTTCAGAGGCTGCTGCTCTGCTCCTCGCCTGCCGTCTATCGTCTATACAGCGTCTCATGACTACTGCGACCTGTCACTTCCAACTTTTGCCTTATGATGAGTGGCTTTAACTTATTGGAGACTCCTCGATGGATGAAGCAAAGCCTCTCACCCTTTGCATTAGCTGAAATTGCTGTTGTCCTCCAAGTATCTGCGTTGTAGACTTTCGCGACACGAAAAAAGAAGGTGAAGGGGCAGACAACATAAGAAAATGAGAGATTAGATGAAACAAAAGAGGGGAAGAATCGAGAGGGAGTGAAGAGCGAAGAAGATTGATGGTAGTAAGGATGGCCAAATGGCAAAACGCACGCTCCGAGCTTCGCAACGATTGCAATCGCAGGATCGCACCATTGATATTGGATCAATCCTTGCGAGAACAGCAAGAAGCGCTAATATGAGTGCTGCCTTTAACTCCACTGCCATTTCAAAATTAATACACACTTATCCTGCAAATCTCAGCTTTCAAAAACTTACACGTCATCTCCCAATCCATTGCCTTTAGCATTTTCTCTAGCATCCGCTATAGCTGCTTCTATTACATCAATACCGACACAGAATACCTAAACGAAAATATTAGACAGTAACAAATGACGAGTCACAATATTAAGTTGTACCTCATTGTTTTTCTTGAATTCTTTGAGGATACATTGGCCAATGGTACCCGTTCCGCAACAGATGTCCAGTAGTAACTGTAAGTGGTGCGTCCTTACGATTATTCGGGTCAACCCGTTGTGACTCATTTGTAATGATCGTGTCCTAGAAGTGTCAAAAGTGATATCGTAGACAAAACCCGGTAGAAAAAAAAAGAAAGTTGGACCTTAGACTTTAAGGAGTTAGCGATGGTTCAGGGAGCACAATCGTGAGGAAAGGCAGAAGCCACAGGTAGGGGTTAGGTGTCAACAGCCAGCCCCTGCTTCGGTGAGACGGAAGCGTTTTTATGGCGCTTTTTGCTTTATCTTTTACAAACGTCCCTCATCGCATTTACTGTCTTTTTTCGAACGAAATGACAAACCAGTTTGGTCGATACTTTCGACACTAATGGTGTTTGCCCTAATCAAGAACATGAGAAGTGTCACTGAACAAAAAACTCATTTTGGAAAACCGCTAGAAGAAACTTAAACATGTGCCACGCATTTGATTCCTCCTAATTCTTGGTTCCGGCCACCTGCTAGCCGCCGAATCGCGCGTGTGGCTGGGTAGACATATGCTACCGTTTCGGCACTACAGGGACTGTTTGAACTCGGTCCTTCAAACCGTTCAATTTGATGCTCCCGCCTGCGCTGAATTCTGAATGCTTCTTGACGAAACGTGCGCCGTTTTGTCTCAGAAACTGTAATGTTTGGAAGCTATATGTTTCTTCCTAATGATGTAATTTGCAGGTCTTCAGTAATAACGGTTTGACAACCAAGTTTACACCACTCGTCCGGCCGCTGCAAGTGGACAGGGAGGCTCCTTGTTTGTGGGCTTCATCGGCGGTTTTCTTGCTTCTTTTTTCATTTGCAGTCAACTTGACATCCACAATTTCATTACTGAACGCTTTTATCACGCTAATTCAATCTGGAATTGTTACTTTAGGAGAAAAAAAATAAATAAAAGTAACCTTGGTTTTAAAATCTTCATCAATAGGTTCATCTAGTCTCTGACGCTTTGGACTGAATTCTTCCACATCTCTCTTGTTCGCTTCCACTGATAGTGATGGCGATGCGGTGAGCCCGCAAGCTTCTCCTTAAATATGTGCGATTTCACAAAAAATGTTTTAAAGACGGAAGTGAAGAGCATCGTTTGTTAGCTTACGCCAAAGAGAGGCGAAAAGGACCACTCCCTTGATAAACTAATTCCTATCACTACATCTACATTTTTCCATTGGTTATTACGCTCATGAGTAGCTCGCGTCAGCAGTTATCTCTTGCACGCAGTTTCGCGCGCAACTAAAACTGCAGTGATACAAGCTATTCTAGCCCAGGAGAGAACACAAGCATTGAGAGAAGATGAAGATTAAGATTCCACAGACGACATTTGCGTCCTTGGGTCTTTCTACGCCTTTTGAATTGAAAATTTTTCAAATCTTCCACTGCTCTGTTAATGATTCGAATACGTTCATGATAGTCTTACAGTAAGAGGAAAAAAAAAAGCGCGGCACTTCACTGCTGAGACCAGATGCAAGAGGGAAGAGTCTCCTTTAGTAAACGATCTCAGCTATGCTTTTCTTTTAGAGAAGAGATGGGAGTTTTTTTTCCACTGGTGTTCATGATCGTTTGAACTGTAATAATACCAGCAACTTACCAACAGTCGTATACAAGACAGCGGCCGCTTGGCTGTTGGTTTGGAAGAACGCAGAAGGTGATACACGAAAACGACATCCGAGAACAGATTCGTAGATATATGGACATCCTAGAAACAGTCAATACAATCGACCGAGATATGGGATGGAAGAATGCGTAGAAAAGCCAAGCGAGTAAAAAGGCTAGCAATAAGGACACCAAATATCTGATTCGTCAACATGAATGGAAATAATATTCATGAAAGTTTACCTACCACCAATATGTTCGTAGTCGACTTGATCACTGCTGTTGGCTAAAGAATGCCAATACAAGGACGTTACCCTGAAGCCGTCTTCCAGAAACGTTGAGGAATTAAGAAACCTAAATTGAGTTCTTGACTTAAATTGACTGGGAATTCGTTCAGCACACACTTATCTTTATTTCTGCGACGAATGCTGAAAAAAGGCACAAATGAGCTCATGGGATTTACCTCGCAGAGAACTCCTGCTTGAGCTTTTCTTCCTGGTTTTGGTCTTCAAAAGGGTTGACAGTGAGAATGAGCATCACGTCTCCACCAAACTGCCGCACAGTGAGCATCTTCCAGACACCGACGCGAGAAAATTCGTCGAATGGAGGCAGACCTATCAATTGCCATTCAACGCTGAAATTTTCTTCTGCGATGGTCCGACTGAGACCACATCAACTGAAAGAGCAGCACAACCAAACCTGAAGCCTGCACAAAATTGGTCACGGCTTCGACAATCTTTTTCGTCATCAAGGTGATATTATCAACATCTCCAATAGGGATGACGTAATGCTCGTTGTTGGAGAAGCGCCCACCAACAAATCCAACGCAAACCTATAGAGTTCCGATTACCCAACAAAAAAGTTTCCGAAGGTTACATGACATACCTGCCCTTCATGCGTGAGGCCAATGGTGAACTCGCATTTGTTGCGATAGCCTGTCGTCTTCGGCGACGGTTTTATCTGAGAAAAGACTCGGCTAGGTTTTCATAGAAGTTTCATCATAAGAGGCAGCAGCATAATGACCAGCTCAATACTGCTCTATAGACTGCGAAGCAGTCGTTAGCGCCCTGCAACCCGTCCTAAATGTAGATTACCTCTTTTAGAAGTTCCGCAGGGAGCAGTTGATTGACGTCCTCAACATTTGCCTTCCTCATTTCGGCGATTAGCCTATCACATAATCTGGAAATAACGTTGTCTCGTAAATATATCTTTAATCTGAAAACAACCACACTGCTAGCCAGCGAAAAAAGCAATGACGAAAATTAAAAAAACCCACTTAAAAGAGGTTCTAGTCTTTTGCAACAACTGTTCACTATAGGGGACATCCGCAAGTTTTGTTACGCTTTCCCTAGCAGTTCTGACTTTATATGACTGAGTGTCCTTAGGCAAGACCTGAAACACAGAACAAAACTTCGTGAAGACAAAGGTATGAGAAATTAGACTTACACTCTTTTGCTCGGATTGGGCAAGTTGAGCTCTCAGAACAGTCTTTTTCACCTCTAACCCATTGAGCTTCGAAATGGCTGCTTGCGCATCCTCGGCAGATTTGAAGCTGACATAGGCATCGAATTTCATTTGCCGTATTTTTCCAATAGTTATGCCAGAAAGATGTCTGAAAATTTGATAATTCCATTAACCAGAGCAAATGTACATTGAGCGCGAACTCACTTTTCTAATAGTTTCTTGAATTGCTTGAAACCGAAGAATTTAGGCACTGGAGAAATATGAATTCTATCCTGGTCCACACCAGCTGCAGTTTCGACCACACTTTTACCGCTATCACCATTGCTACCATTTTCTATGGTTGCTGCATTGTCCACTTCCATATTTCCTAAACATGACATGTGCAAAACTATGTAATAACCAACCCACAGCATGATGAACAAAACCGCGCAGCAAAACGCAAGCGAAGCGCAAGGGGCGTAGCGTGAGTTCTTAGAGTGGCTGTGCGACCACACGTACAACACACTCATCGTACGCGCTGCTTTTGTTTCTAATCAGTTATTTGATGAACTTAGATTAGGTATAGAAGAACGAATACGAAGCTTAGGATCAGCCCTGGGTTCATTTGGGGTGCTAACTTAGTTGGGGGGGGGGCACGCGGCGGCGCGGCAGTCTGCTCGCCTGGCATGTTCGGAAATCCGTGGGCCAGGGGGAGTGTAGCCAGTCTAGGGGGGTGGGGGGTGGGGGCAGTCACTTGACATGCGTGAAAAGCTGGAATGTTCGAGTTTACACTGTCTCGCTCGAGAGAGCCCAGGTGAGCAGACTGCCGCGCCGCCGCGTGCCCCCCCCCAACTAAGTTAGCCCATTTCTTGGCTAATAACCGGCGCCACGCGTAGGGGACATGTTCGGAGAGAGCTCAAGGCATTTTAAACAATGGCAAATTCCTTTACTGTATAACCTTTTGCATGATCTAGTATTCACCATTCACCCACTCCGGGGCTTCCTTCCCTGCAAGGTTTGGTTACTGTACGAAGTATTGCCGCTTCCGGCACCCACAGCTTTCGTCCGAGTTCTGTGGTCAGTGCAAGGCTACCGAGGAGTGGAACGGCCTCTGGCCAAAGAAGCTAGTTCGAATTATACTTTGAACGTAGGATCGCTAACTGGGAAGTCCCGAGAGGTTGCTGATCTGATGACGCGCAGGAATATCCAAGTCCTATGCCTTCAGGAGACGCGATGGAAAGGTGCTAAGGCCAGGGAAATCGGGGAAGGTGTCAAACTCTACTACAATGGAGAAGACACCAAGCGGAACGGTGTGGCCATAGCGGTAGCGGAGTCGCTCAAGGACTATGTCTCCGCTGTGAACAGGATCAGCGATCGGATCATGGCTGTGAGGATATAGACACGAAGGAGGGGTACTGGACAATACTCTCCGTGTACGCACCGCAAGCCGGATGCCCCGAAAGTGAGAAGGACGAGTTCTACTGAGCCTGACGATGCCATCAGATCGATTCCGGAAGGTGACTTACCTTACCATAGCAGGTGATCTGAACGGCCACACCGGCAGTGTTAAAAGATCCTGAAATTGATGCACGTTTCGTCTACAGACTAGCTCAAGCTCAGCATCGAGATAATCAAGAGATTAGGGATCTTCTCCTCTTCCTTTTTAGCGTTGCTGTCCAACTCTTGCACGGATTCCACCAATACCAGCGATCCCGGTTACATGCATCGGCTGCAGACAGGTCCGCAGCATTCATGTCGTATTTCAGGTTGTCTAGCCATCGCTTTCTGGGTCGGCCTCTTGGACGTGTACCGACGAACACTATGTTGTCTACCGACTTGGACACAGCATCAGGGGGTCTTCGTAGGACATGACCGTACCAGCGGAGGCGTGAGGCAGCAAGGGTGTTGGCGATAGGTTGAACTTTGATTTTGTCTCGTATGTGTTCATTCCGAATGCGGTCTAGACGCGTGTGTCCCAGGCACCATCGCAACATTTTCAGCTCAATGGATTCATGACATCTTTGCATGGATAATCAAGACATTAGGGTTAAGTGTGTGAAAAGTGAACACCGTGGCATCTTTAGGAAAAGAGGCGGAGTCAACAGGAGGTGGGAATAATACCTTAGTGAACTTTAAAATAGAGCTGCCCCAAAAACAACTCCCAGGTAGAGAAGACGATTTCCTATTTCACTCTGGACAGAGGTAAGGTTTGTTGAGAGTAGAGAACTTAAAGGTAGAAAGACGGCTGTTGCAGAGGCACCCGAGGCATGGAAGGCGCTAGCAGAGAACGGATAAGCTGGCTCACCCGATTCCTCAACAACATAACTGTGGAAGGAAGGATGCCGGATGCCTGGAGAACAAGTACTATCGTCCCCATCTTCAAGCAGAAGGGCGACGCGATGGACTGCTCCAACTACCGCGGGATCAAGTTGACTGCTCATACATGAAGCTGTCGGTTCGAAACTGCGGGAGCTGGTCCCGATCTCCCAGGAACAGTTCGGGTTCATGCCCGAAAGGTCTACAACGGATGCCATCTTCATCGCTAGGCAAGTGATGGAGAAGTATCGAGAAAAGCGCCGACCCTGCTACCTAGCCTTCCTTGACTGGAGAAGGCGTTGACTGTCTACAGCAAGCAGCACTATTGCCTGTAACGTAAAAAACAGCTTCATTTGCCCAGCGCTTTTCTTCACGGTTGTCGTTTTTGCGACAGGTCCCTAACAACAGCGTCATTCTCAGCGAGGTATTAAGGGAGCGGGCGGTAGATAGAGGAGGTGCCTTTGCAGCGCGTGTGCACATGTGGCCCCGTTCTTTGCGGAGATGCACTTTCATTCTTTGTACTGCTTTCAAATACGTCCTTCTCATGAAGGTAGAGGAATGGAGCGACTGAACCTGCAAAGAATATTTTATATCATGTTTTCACATATCCTCGTTTTCTGCTGCGCTACGCTCTCTCCCTTATAATAAATCGTGATGCCGCTGACGCGTTCGTTACAGACCATCACGGGTACGACCCCTACCCCATGACCAATCTTGACAAATTCGACCTCTGTCGAAGATTTCCTCTAACGATCTTCACCCTGGTAGTAGCTATCGTGTTCGTCATCAAAACCATCAGTATGCATTACACTCAATTTTTGCCGGAATCTGGCAGAAAAAAGTTGTAGCGCCAGAAGCGCACCAAATAGGCGCCGAAGTGGCGTAGGAGCTATCGAAAAAACGGATGTCATATTCGTGATCAGGGCACTCGATAATCCGTAAATTAGAAATTTTAGAGAAGTTGTGACTTCGAAATATTGGGCTGAACCATAATTTCTGGCCGAATTTCGACACTTTCATTTCATTGAGTTTTTTCTTTCCTGGAGAATAACTGATCAACAATATAACCACCGTCGCAATCGCTGATATGCATTCATTTGCTAGGCAGCGAATGGATGCATTCCTCTCAAAACGAGTGGAGCTATGGGATGAAGAGTTCGGAGAGGTCGTTTTTTGGGTGGTTGTATTCAGTGACCCCTTTCTCTCGAAGGTACTGCTTCAGGGCATCGAGAAGGGGATAGTGCGATGAAGTAATGTTAGGGCTATACGATAGATGTGGTATCGCGATCCAGCCAGTTTCCTTCAGAAGGTGGCGAGTTATCTTCGCAATGTAAGGTCGGGCGTTCATCCGGAGGAAGGAGATTTTGAGACGTTTCGAATGGTTCTCTCGCACTGCTGCGGCCAACCTCGGGAGTTATTCCATGGTTATCTTCGCAGTGGTTGTCTATATAAGATGAAGCGGTTCTCAAAGTGGGATACCCGACCAATCCTACAAATGGGGGTAATATTCTCTGACGAAAGAGGTCGGGTTTTGGGTGAGATGGTGGGTTCAGGCTGCGAGATAGCCATAAGGCGTGCCGCGTGTTGTTGTCGTAGTGGACTCAGACCAGGGTCAAGCGTGCGTTGAGGAATCCTCGACATGTCACAGAGGGGGGGGTCGTATTGGCCCGCTGGGGAGAGATCGGGCCCGATTGATACAGTAGGATCATCGTCGGAGGACAAACATTAAGGATCGAATCGATACCAGGCCAGAGTATTTCCAATAACAATTGATTCCGTCCACACAAAATCTTCGTGATTTAGAGGTGTCCGCTTAGCAATTCTTAGTGACTTTAGTGTTTCATCACCACACAAGTCAAAGGATCCGAAATTCGCACGTTTTCTAGGGATATTTTATCTTTCAAGTAAGTAGGTCCTCAAATCCAACGAGATGTGAAGTGGGCCCAGTTGGTTGCGCGCGCTTCAGCTACGGCTATCTTGATAACGAATCTTAATTCAGGAAGAATCAAGAGGGTTCTGAAAGAGTTCATGTTAAATTACAGAGAGGAGTACACTATTCAACAAGAAACGCAGCCTTCAGCGTCAAATTCACAAGCATGTAACCTTTAAAGTTGAGACCCGCTAAACAATTTTACACTTTTTGCAGAGAGAAAAGCACGAGGATTTTGAATCTGCTCCTACTTCAGTATGTAATTCGCAGTGGGAGTGTGTTGATACGAGTTTTGCATGAGTTTGAACGGAGTTATGGCTTTGGAAAGCGTAAAAACTCGCACTCATCACGAATTTTCCTCGTTAATTTTGCAAAAATCCTCAACGTGGCCATTTTTTGAGTACTGGACGTATGAAGCTGCTTTAGCGACCGTTTGATAGAGAAAATCTTCTAGTTTTGTATGACGTATCAACTTTTTGAATTTGACGGAAATGAAGCAAGTTATTGCTCCGGAAAGTGTAAAAACTCGTGCTCGTCTCGAATTTTCCTCGTTATTTGATCTAAATTTGTTATTTCTTATAACTTCCTGTAATTTCAGTACTGATTAGAAAAAGCTCTTCACAAAACTCCCAAATCAGCTTTCAGATTGAAAATTCGTTAACTTTGAAGAAAGTTATAATCATTTGAATATTTGTTCAAATTTCAATAGTAAATAAGCTGCTCCACGGTCAACGCCAAAGTCCAGTCAACACACAGCTGGCGAAGGCTTTTACAAGGCTTCCTTTGAGCGAAAGGGGGACGTGTAAATTGAGAACCATAATCTGTGTAGTACTAGAATTTGGTAAGTCTTGTGGAGGAAATAAACAAAGAAGAGGTGTTGTCATAGTACGCCATTTCTAGTGACTAGTTTGACGTTTTTTGCTCCGTTTCTCGTTTGCTCGTTTGACAGGACTCGTCATTAATGATCATTCTTTGACTTTTTCACTTTTATACTTTTTAAACGAGTTTTTTTGTGGACGATGGGGTAGCAGGGCTTTTTTATGAGCAGTTTTGGTGGAGAATTAAACAACTTTTTGGCGCAATGTGCCTCGGGGGGGGGGGGGGCAGTCGCCGCGCCGCGTTGCGGCAACAGGAAATTCGTGAGCCAGGGGGAGTGTAGCCAATTCAGGGGGGTTGGGGGTGAGGGCA